CCAAAGCTAAGCACTTCTCCCATTGCAAGAAAGATCAATCTAGTAGGCCAAACCAAACTGATAATTCGAAGAGACTTGCAAAGATAAACCAATCATACATAAAATAATTCAGAGAAGATTCAAATATTGTTCATAGATAAACTTGATCATAAACCCACAATTCATCGGATCTCGACAAACACAGCGCAAAAGAAGATTACATCGAATAGATCTCCAAGAGAATCGAGGAGAACTTTGTATTGAGATCCAAAGAGAGAGAAGAAGCCATCTAGCTAATAACTATGGACCCGAAGGTCTGAAGTAAACTACTCACACATCACCGGAGAGGCCATGGAGTTGATGTAGAGGCCCTCCGTGATCAATGCCCCCTCCGGTGGAGCTCCGAAAAAGGCCCCAAGATGGGATCTCTCAGGTACAGAAGGTTGCGGCGGTGGAATTAGGTTTTCGTGGTGCTCCTGGATGTTTGGGGGGTACGTGGATATATATAGGAGGAAGAAGTACGTCGGTGGAGCAACGAGGGTCCCACGAGGGTGGAGGGCCCACCCAGGAGGGGTAGGCGCGCTCCCCTGCCTCGTGCCCTCCTCGATCGTTTCTTAACGCCCACTCCAAGTCTCCTGGATCACGTTTGTTGAGAAAATCACGTTCCCGAAGGTTTCATTTCGTTTGGACTTCGTTTGATATTCCTTTTCCTCGAAACCCTAAAATAGGCAAAAAAACGGCAATTTGGGTTGGGCCTCCGGTTAGTATGTTAGTCCCAAAAATGATATAAAAGTGTAAAATAAAGCCCATTAACATCTAAAATAGATAATATAATAGCATGGAGTAATCAAAAATTATAGATACATTGGAGACGTATCAAGCATCCCCAAGCTTAATTCCTGCTCGTCCTTGAGTAGGTAAATGATAAAAGAAGAATTTTTGATGTGGAATGCTTTCTAACATATTTCTCAATGTAATTTTTCTTTATTGTGGCATGAATGTTCAGATCTGAAAGATTCAAGATAAAAGTTTAATATTGACATAAAAATAATAATACTTCAAGCATACTAACTAAGCAATCATGTCTTCTCAAAATAACATGGCCAAAGAAAGTTATCCCTACAAAATCATATAGTCTGGCTATGCTCTATCTTCACCATACAAAATATTTAAATCATGCACAACCCTGATGACAAGCCAAGCAATTGTTTCATACTTTTGATGTTCTCAAACTTTTTCAATCTTCACGCAATATATGAGCGTGAGTCATGGATATAGCACTATATGTGGAATAGAATGGTGGTTGTGGAGAAGGCAAAAAAGAAAAAGATAGTCTCACATCAACTAGGCGTATCAACGGGCTATGGAGATGCCCATCAATAGATATCAATGTGAGTGAGTAGGGATTGCCATGCAACGGATGCACTAGAGCTATAAGTATATGAAAGCTTAACAAAAAAAACTAAGTGAGTGTGCATCCAACTCGCTTGCTCATGAACATCTAGGGCGTTTTGAGGAAGCCCATCATTGGAATATACAAGCCAAGTTCTATAATGAAAAATTCCCACTAGTATATGAAAGTGATATCATAGGAGACTCTCTATCATGGTGCTACTTTGAATCTCAAGTGTGGAAAAAGGATAGTAGCATTGTCTGTTCTCTCTTTTTCTCTAATTTTTTTATTTGGGCCTTCTTTCTTTCTTTCTTTTTCTTTTTGACCTCTTTTCTTTTTTTTTTTCGTCCGGAGTCTCATCCCGACTTGTGAGGCAATCATAATCTCCATCATCCTTTCCTCTCTTGGGACAATGTTCTAATAATGATGATCATCACACTTTATTTTCTTACAACTCAAGAATTACAACTCGATACTTAGAACAAAATATGATTCTAGGTGAATGCCTCTGGCGGTGTACCGGAATGTGCAATGATGCATGAGTGACAAGTATGAAGAATTATGAACGGTGGCTTTGCCACAAATACGATGTCAAATACGAGAACACCTCCGCCGCCGCCGCCATAGGGTGACTCGAGGGTAGCGGCCGCCGAACACCGCGTGTACCAACGGGGGATGGAGAGAGGTAGGAGACCCCCCAGCTTGCCCTGGGATCACGATCACACGGAAGGGAACGACGGGATACGCCGGCTATGGTGGACTTACGGCGGTGTTCGCCGCAAGGAAGTAAACCCTAGACGCCGCTAGGGGAGGCCCGACGCAGCACTTTATAATATCATCCTCTTAACATTCCACATTTTTCAGATTTTTTCGAAACTTTTAAACATGGTTCCCATGATGTTTTTTTATATTGGTTTTCGTATGATACTCTCCCAAGGTACAAGGTGGGCACTATTGTCATGTGAGGCTGGACAGGCGGTTCATCTATAGACTGATGCAACATGTTCTCGATGGCCCCCATGAGGCATTTAGTTGCTGCCTCATCAGATCACTCGCCTATTTTATTGATGAATAACATGGAGGCCTCCAATGCAATCCAACCTGTGGTTGGATGGTTAGAAGGACAGTGGTATTTTCAGTTTATCAGGGTTCAAATCATTGTGATCCGTGTATTTTTCTGGATTTATTCCAGACTTTCCGGTGATTCGCGTTCAGTGGGAGCAGATGTTCCCGTGCCTATGATGAATTCATTAGTCTCAAGATGATATACTTCTCTCGAAGGTACTCATAAGGACGAGTGTATGCTTGTATATATGAGCGCCTACGTGTGTGTTGTGTTCCAAAAAAAAAGATATGGAAGCCTCAAATAGGATAATTGCTATCAACAACTGTTCAAGTTATATTCGTATTAATGTTTGCTTGCAAAACAAGCATGGCGGCAACTTCAAGATATGTGTTCTCTCAACTACCCCAATGGCAAGTTCTTGAGTCTGGAGGGGTATATGTGAAGGAAGAGATGTTCTTATATAGGAACTGGTCAGGAGGATTGGAACTGGTTCTTGCACTCGCATCATGCAAGACAATTGGATACCGAATCATCTTCTTTGCATCTTTCTGCTGCATGACCAACAGTATTAGAGTAGCTAAAATTGGATACCGAATGCTCCCTTTGTTCGTCCTTTCATCTTCAGGTTCAGGATCCAACAGTAAACATTTGAAACTGGCCTGAATCTTGACAAAATTCTTGTGCACGGTGACAAAATTTCTTTCTGTTGGCTGCTTTGCTTGAAACTCCTTTCTATCTTCCTCACGATTTCTCTGCAAGGTCTTGACATCGTATCTTCTGAATCTGTTACTTTTGTTCGTCGCACAAGGAGCACCTTGCTGCAGAGAAGAACATGGTTAGGCAGGGAGGGAAACCTTTGCCTTTGTTTACCGTCTCCACCCGCCTTCGGATGGTGCACGATCAAACATCAGGGACTGGGAGTTTTTTTACCACCCAAGAGATGTTCTCCAGTAATAACCAGGCTGAACTACTGAATGCACCCGAAAAAATGCCGCATCCACAACAAACCAAATGCCGCCTCCACAGCAGACCACACCGCCTCCGGAATCCGAGCTTGACGAGGGATTTTATGAGAGAGAGAACCCAACCTCATCGACACTCTAGATCCATGCCGCCTCCAAGGATTTACTGGCTCTAGACACCAGTTGTCTACAACTGACTGTCACTAACTGAATCTAGCACTAGAATTTCAGAGATTCGGAGCAAGATTGGCTCGATTTGCTAGGGTTTATGTAGCCCAAAGCCACTGGAAGATAGTCGAAAACGGAAGGAAATGGTAGTTTTATAGACATTACACACAGGGACCTGGTGAAAAGCAGAACAGAAAGAGGAGACATTGTCGGATGTTGAACAGCGACACACAGGAGGTTGAGGAGCGTCTGATCCACGATCAACGACTGCCGAGAAACTAAACCAGCAAACCTGTATCTTGCATTCCAAAAGAAATCACTAGGTTCAAGGGGCTGCCTTTTGCAGCCTCCAACAAACAAGGAGTGCACCCCGAAAAAAGTAAATAAGTATGGACCTATTATCAAAGCCGAGGACCTATATTCAAAAAGAAACAAATTATTTTGGGCCCAGCAAGTTATACTGCCTCTTGTTTTCTCCTCTTTTTTTTGAATGGTCGACAAGGAGTGCACCCCGAAAAAAGTAAATAAGTATGGACCTATTATCAAAGCCGAGGACCTATATTCAAAAAGAAACAAATTATTTTGGGCCCAGCAAGTTATACTGCCTCTTGTTTTCTCCTCTTTTTTTTGAATGGTCGGAAAACAAGTTGTATTGCTGAGTAGTAGTAGATTAGTTTCAGTTTCAGGCATTTTGTGCAGACTGCTCCAGCGGCTATTCCTTCCATAGACAGATATAAATATCTTCATTTAAAAACAAAATTGGAACCTGCATACAATTAACACTCTCATTCTCATATCTAAAGTAAAAAATCATGATTTTTATCTTTAACTGCAAGCTACACATGGCCAAAAGTCAAAACTGAGCATGCTTTTTTTTTAAGAAAGAACAACTGGAATCTGCATTCCATTACCACTCTCATACTCCTACCTGAAGTGAAAAGAATGATTTTTATTTTCAATTGCAAGTGGAGTTGATCAGCAATGTCATACCTGCTCAGTTTTGACTTAGTTACAACATTGTCAGTGACTTGAAGATGAAGAGCTTGTAGTTGACCAAACTGCTATTTTTCTTCATAACCAAACTGTAGTTACTTGAAATCAACTCTGGAAACTGAACCAGTATTACTATATACTATATGATCTACTTGTTTTTGTTTCTACCTAGAAGATTGGATTCTTCAGCTAGCACAACAGTTCAAAATTAACATCAAACAATTATTTGCTCAGCAGCAAATCTGAATACTAGATGGAAATGGTCCAAAATAACACCGGGGAGTTAAAATTACGGTACGTTTCATCATACAATAATACAGATTATTTAAGCTGGCTTAGCACTAGAGTCAGTACTCCTTGCTGTAAACAGGGAGCAGAAGATAGAGAGCAAACTAAGTGCCAGAATGCATGCCTGCATAAACTAGCCGCGGTTCCAAATTCAGAGCACCTCCTCGATCCTCAGTTGCTTCTTAAACATGTAACGATGGGATTTGTGCTTGATCATACGGAGGCCATGCATCAGCCCTTTGCCTTTGCCGCCATTGCTGCCAGCCTCACTGCCGCAGTTGCAACTCTCATTGCCGGAGCAATCGGTGCCACTACTGTGGTGGCCATTGTCTTTGCTGGCACCAGTTCTGCCATTCTTGCCTTTGCCGTTGCTGAAGGCTAGCTCCATACCGGTGAAGAGGGCAAATTCCTTGACGGCATCCATCTCGTTCCATTCCTTGTTGAATTTTATGAAATCCAAGAAGTCCACGATGATGAATCTGCCATAACCAAGGCTGACGACACAGGGATTGCGCAAGCTGTTTGGCTGCCACTCCTCTGGCAGGTCATCACGCTGCCAGATCCGCATCTTGTCTGGCGACAGCTCCTCCCCTCTGACGAGGCCTGAGAGGTCAGCAGCGCAGAGGAGGTTGTCCTGTGACATGCCAAACCAGAGTCCAAGCTCAGGGACGTAATCTGCCTTGCCATGGAAGGGCATGAGGCAGTCGCCAGCTTTGCTCCACTCACGAGTCGCGATGTGGAAGCAGTAGGTGCCAGCACCCTGGGCCCCACAGATGGAGAAGCAGATGCTGTCGCCGACGAGGGCGTGGCCGAAGACCATGGCGTGCTCGTGGTGGTTGATCCACGGCGGCAGAGGGAGGATGTCGCAGTGCCAGAACTTGCTAGATATGGCGGACTGGTCGAACCCCCTCCACACCAGGGCCTCGAACTGCGGCCGCACCTCCGCCTTGTCCGGATGGAGGAGGCCATCGATGATGTAGAGGTCGCCAGTGTCTTCTTGGTGGCCATCAGGAAGGTGCACGTCCGTTGGAGGGACGGAGATGACCATCGGCATCTCCTTGACTCCGTGGAGGCATGGCAGGGTATCCATGTAGCGGAAGCCATCGACGATGTTGAAGCGTAACATGCGGTTCCCGCGGTCGCCCAAGATGACGTTGCTCTCCGAGGCGGTGGGGAAGAAATGGACGAAGCGATGTGAGTTGAGCCAGGGGGAGATTTGCGGTGGCCCCATGACCAGCTCGGGTTTTGGCACATCCATCTTGGGCGCCGCCGCCTCCGCCGTCGCCAGTTTAGTGTTGTAGATCCTTTTCCTGTTGCCGGCACGGGGCTTGTCGGGGGCCAGCGTGGGCAGCACCATGCCATGCGCGGCCGCCTCTTCTGCCGTCGGGTGAAAAAGTTGCAACTTGGAGAGGTTCAGGCGCCGCAGCGAATACGCGCGTTTGACCCCGTCATAAAGCCCCAAGTTGAGGATCTGCCGCATGCCTCCGCTCATCCCCGATCGACTCTCCAACGATCTCCTGGGAGGGTAACAAGTAGTAGTAGAATAAGGACAAGCAAATCGAATCAAGTTGACACAGATCTACAGGCGGCGGGGAACCTTGAGCAAATCAGCGGCGGCGTCGGCGAACCTGGAGCAGAGCGGCGGCGGCGGCGGGGAACTTGGGAGCACCTTATCACCCCCGCGTGCTGTTTGTTCATGGGCTGGGCCTTCCATTACACATACTAAATTGGATTCTTCACATACTATATTGCTTTTACTAAAAAAAACAAACTTGCCTTAAAAAAACTAAAAAACAAACAAACATATTATACTGCTGCTACTGCTTAAAAAAAACATACTTTACTGCTGCTAGTTTCCCCTCTTGCTAGGGTTTCTTTCTCTTGGCTGGCGACTCGCCGCCATTGAGTAGCTTCACCTTCCGTCCCCCGACCCCTCTCTGACCGTAGACATGTGTTCAAAATATTTATTAAAAATGTTAATGATGTAACTAAAAACAATTTAATATCTATAAAAATGTTTCTAGTGTACACGAATTTGTTCATAAAATGTGGTATAATATTCTTAAAAAATGGAGAAGTTTTTTTAAAACAAATATTTGTAAGGTTGTTCAACAAAAAACTCATTTTGGGAACTCGAAAATGGAAAATGAATATGCCAGAATTTGTCTTTTTCATGAGAGGTGGATCAAAAACTTTTTGCACCCAACCATTTGGTCAATTGTACATTAAATATGGCCTAGTATTTTAGAAACTTGATTTGGTCCAATTTTGCAACAAATATATGGTAGGTTCTTCAAAAAAAACTCATTTTTGGCACTAAAAAATAGAAAATTGCTTTTTTGTCCAAAGAAAATAAAAACTCACTTAGGAAACATTGTTCGTCATTGCAAGATGCACCCTTGTGCACTATATGAGATCATTTGAACAAACTATGCCATAAATGTGGCCATAATATTGATCATTTGGCTTGAAAGTCATAGATCTCCACACGAGATAGCTCATTTCTGAGAATATTTTTTTAAATGATTGCGGTATTACAAGTTTATTATTTTTCCTATGAACTTGGCCACATATAATGACACCATGCGAAAGTTTTCCAATTTTTTATTTTTTTATTTTTTCATGCCCGTTTCAAAATGCGGTCAAAACGGCGGGCATGACCGTTCCTATCTAGTGATTGAATCTTGGAAAACTGTTGGTGTTTCTCTGATTAAATAAATACTTTTGTACCTAAAATGATTTTTGGGAAAAATAAATAGCAAACTATGAGGCAGCTGCAGTTCAAATTTGACCCGCTTCCTACTGAATCGGCGGAAATTTGTCTTTTTCACGAGAGGTGGATAAAAGTTTTTGACACCCAACCATTTGGTCAATTTGAAGGAAATATGCCCTAGAGGCAATAATAAAGTTGTTATTTATATTTCCTTATATCATGATAAATGTTTATTATTCATGCTAGAATTGTATTAACCAGAAACTTAGTGCATGTGTGAATACATAGACAAACAGAATGTCACTAGTATGCCTCTACTTGACTAGCTCGTTGAATCAATGATGGTTATGTTTCCTAACCATAGACATGAGTTGTCATTTGATTAACAAGATCACATCATTAGAGAATGATGTGATTGACTTGACCCAACCGTTAGCTTAGCACGATGATCATTTAGTTTGTTGCAATTGCTTTCTTCATAACTTATACATGTTCCTCTGACTATGAGATTATGCAACTCCCGGATACCGGAGGAACACTTTGTGTGCTATCAAATGTCACAACGTAACTGGGTGATTATAAAGATGCTCTACATGTGTCTCCGATGGTGTTTGTTGAGTTGGCATAGATCGAGATTAGGATTTGTCACTCCGTGTATCGAAGAGGTATCTCTGGGCCCTCTCGGTAATGCACATCACTATAAGCCTTGCAAGCAATGTGACTAATGAGTTAGTTACGGGATGTTGCATTACGGAACGAGTAAAGGGACTTTCCGATGACGAGATTAAACTAGGTATTGAGATACCGACGATCGAATCTCAGGCAAGTAACATACCGATGACAAAGGGAACAACATATGTTGTTATGCGGTTTGACCGATAAAGATCTTCGTAGAATATGTAGGAGCCAATATGAGCATCCAGGTTCCGCTATTGGTTATTGACCGGAGATGTGTCTCGGTCATGTCTACATAGTTCTCGAACCCGTAGGGTCCGCACGCTTAACGTTCGATGACGATTTGTATTATGAGTTATGTGATTTGATGACCGAAGTTTGTTCGGAGTCCCGGATGAGATCAAGGACATGACGAGGAGTCTTGAAATGGTTGAGGCGTAAAGATCAATATCTTGGAAGGCTATATTCGGACATCCAGAAGGTTCCGAGTGATTCGGGTATTTTTCGAAGTACCGGAGAGTTACGGGAATTCATATTGCGCCTTAATGGGCCATACGGGAAAGGAGAGAAAGGCCTCAAGGGTGGCCGCGCCCCTTCCCCATGGACTGGTCCGAATTGGACTAGGGAAAGGGGGCGTCCCCTTCCTTCCTTCTCCTTCTCCCTTCCCATTTTCCTATTCCATGTAGGAGGTGGAATCCTACTAGGACTAGGGAGTCCTAGTAGGACTCCACACTTTTGGAGCGCCCTATGAGGGCCGGCCTCCTCCTCCCTCCATCCTTTATATACGTGGCCAGGGGCACCCCATAGACACACAAGTTGATCATTGATCTCTTAGCCGTGTGCGGTGCCCCCCTCCATCATAATCCACCTCGGTCATATCGTAGCGGTGCTTAGGCGGAGCCCTGTTCCGGTAGCATCATCATCACCGTTATCACGCCGTCGTGTTGACGAAGCTCTCCCTCGACACTCTGCTGGATCATGAGTTCATGGGACGTCACCGAGCCGAACGTGTGCAGATCGCGGTGGTGCCGTACTTTCGGTACTAGGATCGGTCGATTGTGAAGACATGCGACTACATCAACCGCGTTGTTACAACGCTTCCGCTTACGCTCTACGAGGGTACATAGACAATACTCTCCCCTCTCGTTGCTATGCATCACCATGATCTTGCGTGTGCATAGGAAATGTTTGAAATTACTGTGTTCCCCAACAGTGGCATCCGAGCTAGGTTTTTGCATAGATGTTATATGCACGAGTAGAACACAAAGGACTTGTGGGTGTGGGTATATACATATTGCTTGCCGTCACTAGTTGTTTCTTGATTCGGCGGTATTGTTGGATGAAGCGGCCTAGACCGACATTACGCGTACGCTTACGCGAGACTGGTTCTACCGACATGCTTCGCACACAGGTGGCTGGCGGGTGTCAGTTTCTCCAACTTTAGTTAATTGGATTCAATGAACAGGGTTCTTTTTGAAGATCAAAAAGCAATCACTATACCGCGTTGTGGTTTTTGACGCGTAGGTAAGAACGGTTCTTGCTCAACCCGTAGCAGGCACGTAAACTTGCAACAACAAAGTAGAGGACGCCTGACTTGTTTTTGCAGGGCATGTTGTGATGTGATATGGTCAAGACGTGATGAGATATAAATTGTTGTATGAGATGATCATGTTTTGTTAAAGTTATCGGCAACTGACAGGAGCCTTATGGTTGTCTCTTTATTGCATAAGATGCAAGCACCATATAATTGCTTTACTTTATCGCTATGCGATAGCAATAGTTGCAAAAGCAATAGTTGGTGAGACGACCATGTGACGTCATGTTGATAGAGATCAAGATGATGGAGATCATGGTGTCATGCCGGTGACGATAGGGATCATGACGGTGTTTTGGAGATGGAGATCAAAGGCACAAGATGATGATGGCCATATCATGTCACATATTTTGATTGCATGTGATGTTTATCCTTTATGTATCTTATTTTTCTTAGTTCGGAGGTAGCATTATAAGATGATCTCTCACTAAATTTCAAGGTATAAGTGTTCTCCCTAGGTATGCACCGTTGCGACAGTTCGTCGTGCCGAGACACCACGTGATGATCGGGTGTGATAAGCTCTACATTCACATACAACGGGTGCAAGTCAGTTTTGCACACGCGGAATACTCGGGTTAAACTTGACGAGCCTAGCATATGCAGATATGGCCTCAGAACACTGGAGACCGAAAGGTCGAGCGTGAATCATATAGTAGATATGATCAACATAGTGATGTTCACCATTGAAAACTACTCCGTCTCACGTGATGATCGGACATGGTTTAGTTGATTTGGATCACATGATCATTTAGATGACTAGAGGAATGTCTATCTAAGTGGGAGTTCTTAAGTAATATGATTAATTGAACTTTAATTTATCATGAACTTAGTCCTGATAGTATTTGCATAACTATGTTGTAGATCAATAGCTCGCGATGTAGCTCCCCGTTTATTTTTGATATGTTCCTAGAGAAAAACTATGTTGAAATATGATAGTAGCAATGATATGGACTAGGTCCGTGATCTGAGGATTATCCTCATTGTTGCACAGAAGAATTATGTCCTTGATGCACCGCTAGGTGACGGACCTATTGCAGGAGCAGATACAGACGTTATGAACGTTTGGTAAAGCTCGGTATGATGACTACTTGATAGTTTAGTGTGTTGGAAATATGCCCTAGAGGCAATAATAAATTGGTTATTATTGTATTTCCTTGTTCATGATAATCGTTTATTATCCATGCTAGAATTGTATTGATAGGAAACTCAGATACATGTGTGGATACATAGACAACACCATGTCCCTAGTAAGCCTCTAGTTGACTAGCTCGTTGATCAATAGATGGTTAGGGTTTCCTGACTATGGACATTGGATGTCATTGATAACGGGATCACATCATTAGAAGAATGATGTGATGGACAAGACCCAATCCTGAGCCTAGCACAAGATCGTGTAGTTCGTATGCTAAAGCTTTTCTAGTGTCAAGTATCATTTCCTTAGACCATGAGATTGTGCAACTCCTGGATGCCGTAGGAATACTTTGGGTGTGCCAAATGTCACAACGTAACT